TCCGGGGTCCTCTCTCTCCTCCCCGGGGCCTTCCTGCACCCCGCACAGGACGGGGTCCTGCCCGGCTTCCGGGAGTCTTCAGCAGCCGCGCCTTCGCACTCCGGGCTCTGGGGACGGCTTGAGCGGCCCGGCCCCAGAGCTCCGGTCGCTGGGCCCCTGCTCGCCGGCGGGGATCCACTGTGTGGGGGGGGGCTGGGTGTGCCCTTTGCGCGTGGCCGGCAGGCCCTGCTGGGTCTGTGTCCCTGGCTAGAGCACACGGCTGGAGGCCACGGTGGGCATCACGGTGAGGAAGTTGCAGGTCCACCTGCTGTCCTGAGCGCTGGCTGCAAGGCCGCCGTGGCTACCCGCGTGAGGGGACATCCCGGATGCGGGCGGGGCTCTGAGAGTCTGTCCTTGCTCGGTGGGCCTGCGGGCCGCAGGCATCCGTCCGAGTGGGTTCCCGGGGTCCTGGCTGTGGGGAACGCGCTCTGATCGGGGTGTGGCACCCCCTCGGAGTGTTCGTGGCCGCCTGGGCAGCGTTGCGTCTGAAGCAGGAAGAGCCGCAGAAACACGCCAAAGCCGCCGCGGGCTGGCCGGTCGCCCGGCCCTCACGGGCTTTCCCAGAAGCGCCTGTGCGTGGGTGCTGAGCGGCTCCCCAAGTTGTCTCTGCCCTCACCTTACCGCCGCTTTCCCTTCTCTCGGAGAGGTGTCAGCGCGAGGCTCGGAGCGTTGTCGGAAGGGGGTTGCCGCAGTGAGGGAACAGAGCAGCCCCGGGAGGTGGGATGCCCTCGTGGCCGTTGCTGGAGTCTTGCGGTGGGCGCCGTCAGCCTCAGCGGCGACGCCAGCCCCCGGTGCCGGTGTCCTGTTTTGTGTCGTGCGTGTTTGTGAAGTGTGACTCGATGAGGCTGTTCTGATGGGAAAGCACGTTTTATGGAAAATGCACTTCACGCCCCTGTTCACTTCCAAGCAAGCCCTTTAAGAAAGGAACGTGATACGGCACTGTGTGCGCCTGTGGTGACACCTGCAAAGGTGACAGGGTTTTGAACCGTGGGCCTGGGTCAGTGTGGGCTGGTGGTCGTGAGTGTGCGTGCGAGCGAACGGACGTGCTGGGGTGGTGCGCCCTGCAGGCTTGCGGACTCGCGGACACCCGAGGGCTGGGGGCCAAAGCGGGATGCCCCCCATGCGCTGGCACAGCTCCCTCTCTGCAGGTTGCTTCCGCGCCAGCGTGTCCCCAGCCCTGGGAGCACACACAGGTCACGGCTGCCCCGCCCGCGCCAGTGCCTTCCTGCGGAGGGCATCTTTCTCCAGGGCTGCCGCCGGCTGTGGGAAGGAACTCAGGCCTCCAGCCCTGGCTTTCCCACGGTCTGCATGTCCCATGGAGCCGTGGGTCTCTGCCTGAGGCAGGACAGCACACACCCGTCTTAAGGCAACGTTTACGTGGACGCCTAGTGTTGAGCCTCTTCAGAAATCAGCTGCCCGAGTGTGTGTCGGCATAAAGCAGGCGCACGTCTGGTGCGTAGTGCTCTCGTGTACGACTCACATGGCCTCGGGCCCTGTCCGCATTGCCTGGCTGACCTGGGGGCTGTGGGTTGGGCCCCGTGCACGCCCACCCAGCCTCCCGTAACCCGGGGACCTGCCCGCAGCCCTGGCTGGCTCGGCGCGTCTTGGTGGCAGGGGTGAGGGGCCGCCGGGTGCGGCTGGTCGCACGGCAGGTCCCGCTTTGCCCTCCGCCCGCCAACTGGCCCTCCCTGGCCTGGGGCGGGCGGCTGGGCCTGGCGAAATCACAGCGTGGGTTTTGGGTCTGGCCAGAGGCTGAGATGGCTGCATTCCGGCAAGCTCCCGGCGGCACCACACGCCAGGGGCCGAGGGAGGCGCGTGCTGGTGCTGGCCTCTGGCGCAGTGCTTGCTCAGAAGACAGCCACCCAGACGGGACAAAGCGTGGGGACGTTAATTTTTGAGCACCAAAATCTTGCAAAAATCGAGACATTTACTCAGCAACCTCGCAAACTCCAGAGGAGCGTTGCTGGGGGCCAGTCCCCTCGCTGCGGGGTCCCCTTGCAGACTGACCTTCGTGCCCGACGTCTGACTGCCTCCTTGCAGGCTCAGGCCCTCTGAATGCTTGTGGTGGTGACTTGCACAACAAAAGCAAGGAGAGCAAAAGGAGAATGCAGAGGAGGGAAAGGAAGAGGAGGCTGGGCCAGGGTCTCCTGCCTGCAGTCCCAGCTCTTTGGGAGGCTGAGGTGGGAGGATCGTTTGAGGCCATCTTGGGCAACATAGTGAGACCCTATGTCTATGAGAAAATAGGAAGCAAGAAGCCGGGCATGGTGGTGCCTGCCTGTAGTCCCAGCTACTGGGGATGCTGAGGCAGAAGCACCACCTGAGCCCAGGAGCTTGAGGCTGTGGTGGCTGTGAGCGTGCCACTGCACTCCAGCCTGGGCGATAGAGGAAGACTCCATCTCTGAAATAAAAAAGGGTAAAAAGAGGTCCACGCGGCTGGGCTCAGTGGCTCAGCCTGTAATCCCATGCTTTGTGAGGCCGAGGTGAGTGGATTGCCTGAGCCCGTGGGTTCAAGACCTGCCTGGGCAACTTGGCGAGACCTCATCTCTAC